AACTACACATACCTTATCTTACCGTACTCACGAATCCGCTTTGTAATTGTGCTGTATAATGCAGCAAAATATCACCGCTTCAAGGAGATGGGCGTCCAGGGCGGGGGCGGGGGAAAGAGGAGGGGCGGAAACAGCGAGTGGATGGGGTGGGGCAAGCGCAGGGAAATCTGATGGAGTACCTCAAAGTTTGATGCAAAAACGCATGATTACACCGGCTCGCCTGGTGCGTTCCAGCCTGGGTTGTAATTCGCATATATGCAATAACGCATAAAAACCTCCATTGTGCAAAATTTTTGAAATGCACATAAAATATGCGATGAATCGCAGTGGAAACTATTACCTGTCAAGGATGATAGTATCCGCTCCTTTACAATAAAGCATTATTTCGCCTGCGGGATTTCGAACAACTACTGACATCCGTTTCCTGACGTTATTGAAATCAAGGATAGCCAATAGCTCGTATATCTAAAATTGCGTATTTTAGGAAAGCCAACGTTCATTGTCAAAAAACCTTCGAGACCGCTAAAGATTGCTGAAAATGAAACGTTGATGTGTCTGGGTCGCAAACGCAACACTGGTTCAGCTAAGATGCATCAAGAAAAAAAGAGGACTGTTTCAATAATTCATTCAAGCCAATAAAGACGGGGAACATAAAAAATAAGATAAAGACCTCCTCAGTGTTGTTTACTTCAAGTGTGATGGTATGAGCAGTACGTGATTTGAAAACATATCCAAAATTGCGGGATGCCGACGTTAGAGCTGCTTCATCTGGACTCTGCGCTTGATATTCGAGTTGGCCGCTTTTTCGATCTGGCATCACTGTGTGACAGAGAGCTAGAAGATGCCAAAATTCTGTCACCTTAAAAAATTATTTAAAAAAATTTATTTTAGAACCGAATTCATCAAAAAGCACATCTAACGGTGTTGAAATTACGACAAAACTAAATGAGGATTGTAGTCATCAGTAAACAAATTTGCTCATCGCATTAACAAATCAACCCACTCCAACATATCTAACCACGGACCATTTTGCCATCACTATAGAAGGACAAGCTGGGAATTACATTTGTCGAGCTCGAAAAAACCCAAAAATTTTACATAATAAATAACTGCTACTATCGATGTTGTGATATATTTCACTAATATTCGTGGATGCACCACCACATCCAAAAATGTAACAGTGCACTTCCAAGACGACTTTCTGTCCTACTCGGCATTTAGTAACTAAACCGCGATCATGCATTCCTGCATTATTCCACCCTGTAAGGGGATCATCTGTACTTTTGCGGTGTGACTGCAATGCTGCAGTTCGGACACTTGATGCGTCTATAAGCAATTCTCATCCGTAGACAGAAACTCATATTATTCTCAGTGATTCGCATTCAAACAGCAAAAATCCCCCCCAAAAAAAATACTGGTTTTTGGCGCCTTTTCACGATCTGGCATTTTGCTAGAGATTTTGCAATTCCTACTTTGATATTTCCTCTTTTTTTTGTAACTGTTAAAGCTGAAACTGAAATAGTTCATGCAAGAATGCAGAACAACCCTGTGAAATTTCAGCTTCCTAGCACATTTGGCACTTGAAATTGTTTTCCTACTAAAAAATTTACATGT